AGCGACGCGCTCTTCACTCGCAGGGCATGGCGTGTCGTCGATGGGCCGCCGTGGCGGCACGCTAGCCAGAGCTCCGGACCGCCTTCCGCCAGGGGTCTGTCGGTGCAGATCGATGCAGCTCGCCCCGGGGACTCTTCCGAAGCGGAGACCGAAGAGGAGGAGGAGGGGGAGGAGGAGGAGCAGGGGGAGGAGGAGGAGGAGGAGGAGGAGGAGGAGGAGGGAGGAGGCGGAGGCGGAGGAGGAGGAGAAGGAGGAGGAGGAGCAGGAGGAGGAGGAGGAGGAGGAGGAGGAGGAGGCGGAGGAGGCGGAGGAGGCGGAGGAGGAGGAGCAGGAGGGGGAGGCGTGCTGCAGCCGGTCGTGTCAACACCACTGTTGCCCCGGTGTGATAGGGCCCCGCGCGCGTGCGTCGACCGCTGGGAGCAACGCCAGCGTGAGCTCCGCCTTCGTCCCTCGCGGTCCTGCATCCCGCAGCGGGTAAGGACCCGCCTGCGATGTGCTGTTTCTCTCCTGTATTTACCAGTTTGAAGCATATCCCTATCCCTATGTTTTGACATCACCTCACCTCGATGCCGATCTTAAGGATTCCCTCAGTTTCTGAGGAGGGCCTATCCCTAAGATTGTCCTCGCCTTTTGCTCGCCCATCTTAGGGATAGGGATCTGTTCCAGGCTGGTCATGTGTCGCCGTGCGCTCCGTCGGCGAGCTGTGTCGCCGTGCGCGCCGTCGGCGAACTTTTGCCTCTTCGGCCCAGCCTGGGCCGCCTGCCGCCCAGCTGGCGGGTCCTCCACCCTCTCCTCTCTTCCGCCACGGGGGCAGCTGGGGCAAGCAGAGGCGCTGCGATTCTGTTCTTGGCCTGAGTTCGCTCTGTCCTGAGGAGGTCGGTTAACGGGGAGGAAGCGTGCTGCGAAATAAGTTCCAGGTGTCGAAACAATGCTTGAAACATGTTTTAACTATGTAAAGACATGGTTGAAACGTGTTTAGAACATGTTCTACACATGTTGAAGACATCTGTAATTCAATGTTAGGATTGTTAGAGTGCCCATCGTCATGGCATCCACACGCTTTGTCGACCAGGTCAAGTCGCCGGGCATAGGTCATGGTCGGGCACCGTGTCGTGCACACGGGGCGCGCGGCACTCGCCGCCTGTCCCGGGAACCTCTCGTGCCCCGGGTCCGCTCCTCGGGTTCCCTCTCGCTGCTCCAGCTGCCGCGCTGCGAGGAGGACGAGGCGGCCCGTCCCGAGGCGCGCCCCTGTCGAGCGCCCGGCAGGGCCGCCTGCGATCCGACACGCTGCGCTTCGATTCGCCAGCTGAGCTTGAGATGGCGAGCGGGAGTAAGATCGAACATGAGGAGAAAAATATTAGAGCTCTAACGAATGTTCGAATTTCGAGAAATCGAACTTAAACCGAGCAAAATTATGCAAAACTTCGCTCGAGATTTTTTGTCAACTAGCCTCCCAGCGCGCCGGGTTCCGCCTCGATTCGCAGGCATCGGCCAGGGCCAGCTGGAACCGGGCGCTGCGATCCGGCCTCGATGCGCTGCTCGGGACGATCCGTTGGCGGTGCGATGCTTTCAGGAGGGAAAGAAACACACACACACAATCAATCGTCGACTCCCAGGAAATATGCGAAGATATGGGAAGTGGGGGGGAAGACAAAAACCCCCCAAAATATGGAAAATATGAGCAATCTTTTTATTTGTGTGTGTTCATTTGTGTGTCCTGGGGCCCCTTCATACTTGTCCGCGCCGATCCGATCCTCCTGGAGCCGATGCACCCCGAGAGATCCGATGTCGCGAGCACGCTGCAGCAGCGCAGGAAGTCGCGTCCAAAGTCTTCGGGTGTTCCTTCACTGACGCACCCCTGACGCACTGCATCTGAAACAAATCCTGGGCGGGCTCACTAAAAAATAGGGACCGGTGAATTCTTTATATATAGCCAGACCTACCGTTTCCCGATGTTTTTTGTTTTGTCCGAGGGGCGACGGATCCTGCTTACCTATCAACAAAAGGGGATCTGCGCATCGCAATCCACAGACCCCATCGTACTGGTGATCGTTTTTTGATTCGTCGTTTTGCTGATCGGCGCGGGCCCTCGCACCCCCCCTCCGCCCCCTCATGGAGTAGATCTTGGCTGTTTTTTGGCGCCTGTTTCGAGCAGGTGGGGTCTCTCCCATAGGACGCACTGGTGCAAACAGTCGCACTGAGCAGAGGTCCGGAGCCAGACCCCACCCTCCCCTCCCCTCCCCTTCCGCCTGATGTCGAAACGCCCAATGAAAAAACGCTCACCTGCGCCACTCCTCGAGGCGGACCGACCAGCTCGGGCCTGCCTGCCTGCAGAAGCGAGTCCCGTCCGAGAGCGAGGCGGCAGAGCAGCGGCCGAACAGTGGCAGCGAGGGCAGCGGGCCCGCCCCGGCAGCGCGGCAGGCTGCCGCGGCGCCTCGAGGCGCAGGCTGCTGCCCTGTCCGCCGCAGAGGCGCCCGCGGCGCCGCGAGCGCTGCACCAGGAGACCCTCGAAGTGCTCCTGCTGCTCCTGCTGCTCCTGCTGCTCCTGCTGCTCCTCCTCCTCCTCCTCCTCCTCCTCCTTCTCCTTCTCCTCCTCCTCCTCCTCCTCCTCCTCCTCCTCCTCCACCTCCTCCTCCTCCTCCTCCTCCTCCTCCTCCTCCTCCTCTTTCTCCTCCTGCAGCAGCGAGATGCCCTCAAAGCGGCATTAGCCGAAATGCCAAACAATTGCTCGATTCTGCCCCCTCCGCCCAACGCGGCTAGGCCATACAGGTGGCTCAGGCCAAGGCGTCGAGGTCGAGTCGTTGACGAACTCTGCGGCAGGTACTGGCGCTCCTCCTCCTCCGCCTCCGCCTCCTCCTCCTCCTCTCCTCCTCCTCCTCCTGCTGCTCCTGCTCCTCCTCCTCCTCCACCTCCTGCTCCTCCTCCTCCTCCTCCTCCCCCTCCTCCTCCTCCTCCTCCTCCCTCCTCCTCCTCCTCCTCCTCCTCCTCCTCCTCCTCCTCCTCCTCCTCCTCCTGCCTCCTCCTCCTCCTCCTCCTCCTCCTCCTCCTCCTCCTCCTCCTCCTCCTCCTCCTCCTCCCCCTCCCCCTCCCCCTCCCCCTCCCCCTCCCCCTCCCCCTCTCGGGCGGGGGTGGACGGACGGGGCAGAGTGGGTGGCTATGGGAGCCGTCTGGGGGTCTGATGGGGGCCCAGCGCTGTGTTCCGGCCAGCAGGCAGGGCGGGCAGGTTCGAAAGGTCGCTTGCCTTTTTTGCAGTCTCTGGGGGGGGACCGCTTTCGGACCCAAGGGCCGTGAAATGTTCATCCAGGGTGAAATGCTGCACCAGATGGCCCCCAGGAGGGGTGCGGGGACCGATTTGGAGCGGATTTGGCTTCAGTTCCTTTGTTTTCATCGAGAACAAAACAACCCCTAAACACGATGAAGGCGTGGCCTCACTGAGGTTCCCGTCTTTGCAGCAGGGATCTTAAATCTGGACGGCCTGGTTCCATACATCTGCAGAGAAGACCCCCCCATTCCTGATTTTTTGGCCCTCCAAACTCAGGTTCCCTCTCAAACGGTTAGGGGTCTTTTTTTGGTCACTCACCCCTGACCGATGTCCCAACCAGCTCAGACCCCCAGCCGCCTCCAGATGGGGGCGGACGGACAGGGCGGAGCGGGTGGCTGCTTCGGTCGCGCGCCCAAGGGACGACGGCAGAGGGAGCGGGCATTCCTCAAAGGGCCTGGAGGGCCTCGGGCTGGCTTTCTGAGAAGCTTTCGGAGCCCTCTCTGAAGACAGAGGCTCTGGGCCTCCCAGATGGGGTCCTAGCATACGGGGTCGATGAATCACTCCGCATCGCCGATGCATCGGCGATGCGGCTCGATGCGGAGCCCGATGTTCTTCACGCCGACGCCCCTCGCGCATCGCCGACGTCGCCGATACATCGTCGATGCATCGTCGACGCATTGGTGATGTATTGGCGATGCGGCGCGATCCTCCGACCCCGTCTACCTGGACCCCATCAAGGAGGCCTCTTGAGGCGGCTCCTCAGAAGGCCCCAGGGCTTCTAAGAAACTCCGCCGCCTTCTGGAGGTCCGCGCCCACTCCCTTGTTCCCCCTGGGCGCGCCGCCGACTGGTGTCTGCGACCACCTGCGAACCCTACTTGGGGTCCAATCGACGCTGGGGTATCGGGTTCTCCCGTTGGGCTGGGGTGCATGCGGCTGCACCCATCTTTCAACTTCTGATCCCCCTGGCGTTTCTCACAGATCTTAACAGCAGGGGTACTTGGGGTTCACACGTGGTTGCTCATGATGCGGGGGGAGTTGGTGCCCCATGAGGGGAGAACGGGGGGGGGGACCGGAGTGCACGTCCACTGACGTCCACAGGAGGGGAGTGTGGGGGGCGGGGGCTGGGGAGAGCCCCACAATGAACATCCGTGCCCACGCGCGAGTCTCCCCCCGCAGCTGCTGGCAGAAGAGCCCGCAGACCATGCCCCGCAGGGCGTCTGGCCGCAAGCCACCTCCTCCTCCTTCTCCTCCATTCCTTTTTCCTTTTTCCCTTCGAATAGTTCATCCCTGTCGCACCCCGAGGCCGGTCGATTGGGCGGGCCGGGCGGGTTGCTTGAGACTTCCTCACCATGTCTGATCCTGAAGCTTAAAAGTTGGTAGTCGTTTCACAGATGAAGGGCGGTTGGTTTTCAAAGTGTGGCTCTCGCCTTAGCGCCGCGCACGCTCGGGCCGTTTTCCAAAGGTGACTCTCGCCTTAGCACCGCGCACATTCGTCGCAAACATGTGCGAAAGTTTCGCAGATTGACAGCGGTTCCTTTTCAACATGTGGCACTCGCCTTAGCGCCGCGCACATTGGTTTATCAACAATTACTAGAGTTTCAAGGGTTCACATGAGTAACGTACCAGAAACTGCGTTTCGGAACGATTCAGGATTGCCACGGCGCAACAGTTACGTTGATTCGCGGTGTTGAAATGCCAGGATTGGTGTTCTGGCACGAACTATCAAGACGCATCAGTCAGTTTGATTCGGGGCGTTGGAGTCCTGAGAGTGGTGTTTTGGCACGTTTCAGGATCTTCAAGCGGCTGTCTCCCCACGGTGCATCTTCCTCTGTGGAAGTAATTTTTGTAGGGGCCTATAAAGAAGGAGCTTGGAGGGAGGACTTATTCCAACATCAGCGATGCGTCTTGGGTTTACACTGGTCCTCCCGCTCCTCCCCTCCCTCCTCTTTCTCCTCCTCCTCGTCCTCGTCGTCGTCCTCTTCCTCCTCCTCCTCCTCCCCCTCCTCCTCCTCCTCCTCCTCCTCCTCCTCCTCCTCCTCGTCCTCCTCCTCCTCGTCCTCCTCCTCCTCCTCCTCCTCCTCCTCCTCCTCCTCCTCCTCCTCCTCCTCCTCCTCCCCCTCCTCCTCCTCCTCCTCCTTGTCCTCCGTAGCCAATTTTGGCGGTGGCTCGGCCAGGCTGTAGGGCCCACGCCCCGTTGCTTCTTCTGCCGCTGCCGTGTCCCTGGCAAGGCGGCGGCCCCTCGCCTCGTCATCTTCGACCTTCATGGTGATCTGCGGCGATTTGGGGGAGTGGCGCTGGGCAGACACCAGCAGTGCTTTGCTCAAGCGGCCTGCTTCCTTGGGCGTCGCGGTCTGATTACGAGCAGCACGGTCGCCAAGACTCTGGCACAGGACACCGACCTCGGAGCAGGACTTGTTCTCTGCAACGGCTTGCGAGTTCAGTGCCAGGAAGCATGTAAAGTGATGATCAACGGCATTGTCCAGCATGGCCTCCGCCCTGTCTTTTGTGAGTGGCTGCCACTGAGATTTGCGACATGGTCGCACCGCTCCAGGAAGCCAACGGCGCCCTGAATGCGAAGCTCGCCAAGCTGGAGGCCCAGCTTCGTCCTTCAATCAGCCGCATTGCCACCCCAACGGTGAAGGAACACCCTGACAAACAGGAGGAGGAGGAGAAGTGGACGGAGGCGATGGAGGACGCTGCCTCGGAGGAGGTTGTTGCCGCCCTCGATGCTGCGATCCAACGCCATGTCGAAGTCCAAGAAGGACAACAAGGAAAGGGCGGATCAGAAGGACAAGACGGATACTACGGAGTCTGCCCCCCATCTGTTCTCCCTTGCCATTTTCCTCCTGTCATTTTGTCTGCTCGTTCTGCTCTGTAGAGCGCTCGTGGTTTGCCTCGCTGTCTGTTGTCGGGCATAGTCCTCTTGAAGGGCCGCGGACCTCATCTTCCCAATTGTTTTTCTTTGTCCTCAGCCATTTTGGTTCAAAGCGCGGGACAGCGATACATCGGGGAGATTTTCGCCCGGATCGCAGGGAGAAGCGCCGACTAGGGGAGTAGCTTTCCGAGCGCGGCGGCTGTTGGGAAGCGATGGTGGTGTTCACCCTCATGGCGACCATCGACTCTGTCACTCCTGCCGGCCGTGACTGGACTGCTGTTCTCAGCCTGCGGGTCGCTGAAGAGCATCGCCGACCTAGTGCATGACATTGTAAATTCGCCCGAATTCCTGCAGAGCATGGGCCGAACGCTGATGGCTGAGTACGGCTTTTCGTTTCTGGGCAAGCCGTGGACGTTTCATGTACAGTACGCTTGGATTGTCATCAAGACCCTCCCGTTGATCAACGAGATGGAGGTATACAATAATAAGGCTTATAGCTATCACCGAAAATGGCACATGGTGGGACGATGTTTGTACCTCCCTTGCTGGTTTGTGTATGTTGCGCACGCCATGACGGCCGTCGTGGACATCCGCGTACACGGCATCTCGCCGTCCTCATCCTCTGAACCCCCATTCATTATTATACTTCTGCTCCTCCGTCTTGATCTCCTCCGACTTAGCAGTCTCTCGCCTCACAGCGCTGAAGCGCAGCCAGTACGGCCTGCCCATGCCTGAGGCCGTTGGATGGCCCATGCCTCTTGATGACGCTGCATTCGCCTCGACGCTCGTTGCCAGCACTGTATCGTAAGAGTTTGTTTTATTCAGCGAGGATCACAAACCCAGAAACGCCAATAAGCATGAACAGCCAACAGACACACCTTCTCAACTGTTGTTTTCCTCTGGCCTTCTCTTTTTCTGATCCTCTCTCTTCCCCTGTCCGCCCTTCTCTTGCTGGCCAGTCTCGCTCCTCCTCCTCCTCCTCCTCCTCCTCCTCCTCCTCCTCCTCCTCCTCCTCCTCCTCCCCCTCCTCCTCCTCCTCCTCCTCCTCCTCCTGCCTCCTCCTCCTCCTCCTCCTCCTCCTCCTCCTCCTCCTCCTCGGCCCCCTCTCCCTCGGCCCCTCCTCGGCTCCCTCCTCGCGCCCGCGCGCCTCCTCCCCTCGCCCCGCCTCCCCCCCCCCACCGCGGCGAGCAGCCCCCCCAGTCCGCCCCGCCTCCCGCGCGACCGTCCCCCCACGAGTGCGCCTCGCCCGCCCGCGAGCGCTCGCGACCCTCCCCCGCCCGCCGCGCTGCCCCCCCACCCCACCCCACCCCGCGGCGCTCCGCCCTGCCCTGCCCGCTCTTCGTGCGCGCGAGGGCTCCGCAGC